GAGAGGGGAACACAAAAATGACTCAGCTGCAACTAAAAATATGGATGAAGGACCTCAGTTTAACTTGTTTGTCGCACTAGCGCTGAGCTAATACATATAAGGCAATATAGCGTCAGCGTAAAGGCTAACAGGCTAAGCTGATGTTCTTCTTCCATGAAGCAGCTCTGTTGTCCTCCATCCATATTTTCAGTTCCAGGCTGAGTCATTTCTACCTTCTCCTCTCTGTCAACGCTCTCTGGTTTCATTTAAAAGAGTCGATCATCAGATATTGTCCAAGATTAACCTTCAGGGTGGATATAGCTCGCTAGCAGCCTCGCACCGAGGACCTATCCACGTCATCATTTACCCAGAATGCTTTGTGTGGAAATAAAATGGCTCTGTCCATGTTAAGATATATTTTTAAAAATGTACAAAACTAAACAGTATTTTTACAGTCTTTATTTTACAGTTAAAATATATGTTTATCAAATAAATTCTAATGTTACAACTAATCGTGGATAGATGAAAATTAAAAAATCAACTGGAAGCTTCTTGTATGCGTGTACATGCTGTAATGCTAACAAACCTGATCAAATACATAACATTTTTTAGTAATTTGTACATAAAAAATTCTTAAGTTGTCTAAAACATTATAGTGTGACAGGGCCTTAAAGCTTGAAGTCTGTAGTTTGGGTAAAAATGAACAGATTCTCACAGAGGGTGTATTTTTCTCTCTAGAGGGGTTGAAATCATGTGACTAGGCCAGAGACTATTATTAATTGTTATTGACCAAATGCCTCAATTAATCATGATTAATTTCTTTGCTAATTTTGTCCAACCCTAGTCAAGTGTTGTGTGAAGTGTCAATTATTGACTTTGTTATTATTTCATTATTGTGATGAAACAGAACAGATTCATGTTCAGAGCTTTAATATCGATTCCTTTCACAAAATGCAGACTCCCTGACATGTGGTGGATATTTATCTTGTCATCTTGGTTTCCTGTAAAAACATTTGTTTTTGAGCCTCAATGTGTGCTCACATTAAAGTGACACGCCCGTCCTTCAAATACAAAAAGTCAAAGAAAACATCTTTATACTTAAGAAAACTGGCATACAGTTTATTTTACCCATTTTGTCACATAACTGGCATATTTCATTTTGAATTTGGCTCAGCCAAAGTGAAACAGGAAGTGACATCAAAAGGGAAATCATTAATAAAATAAACTCTGCTTATTAAAACAAAATTATTTAAACTTTAACTCTTCTTCATCTCTCTGATAGAGACTCAGAATAATCTAAAGCAACATCAGATTCTTCTCTACAGTCTGTAATCAGCTGTTGTAACAATGCTCTGTTTACATGCAGACATTCCCCTTTGACATCACTTCCTGTTTCTTCACATGGAAATATCTCAACTACTGTTCATCTCAGTGGCATGAAATTTGTTTTGCAATATGTTATCAATGTTATATTTCCAAAAATGCATTCATGTTTTTTACAAAACTTTGATGTCACAGGCCCTTTAAGGCTGGAGGGGTGATAACAGAGGGGCTTTGAGAAGCAGAAATAAAAGAAAGACCAGAACTGATGTCCAAACAAAACACAATCATCTTCAGTTGTTTCAGGTTTTTATTTATCCGGCAGCTTCTCTCTGGTTAGAGAACGTAAAAATAAAGTTTTAATTTGTGTATCCTACAACCAGCATACATTCCCTGCTGTCAGTTCAAAGCAAGTGCAGTCATTTGCACTGCTCAGGTGTTTTCTATTGTTCTCAAGTAAACAGCCTCCTCCTCCTCCTCCTCCTCCATCCCTGCTGCTGATGGACAGCTCTTAGGGAGCGCCGATGCTCATGCTTTGACAGGGTTACAGTGCCGAAGGGGCTTAAAGGCAGCAGTTTTTTAAAAAAAGGCAGCACACACAAACAAAGAGTAAACAAGCACACCTGCTCAGAAACAAGCAGACGCTTCCATGTTGCCTCACAGGAGCGTCCTGCAGGACGGCCTGCTCGCACTGTCATCACAGGCAGCTGAGGGAGTCCAGGAGTTCTGTTGCTGTTTCATGGAGAAAGAAATCAAACTGTGTGTGTGTGTGTGTGTGTGTGTGTGTGTGGTGGACGGCTGTGATGAAAGCTGAGCAATAAGCTCCAGCTCTTCTTTCCTGACAGCTGCTGTCATAGCATCACAGTGCTGCCAGATAATTGCTTCTCTCTCTCTCTCTCTCTCTCTCTCTCTCTCTCTCTCTCTCTCTCTCTCTCTCTCTCTCTTATTTCCTTCCATCGCTCATTCTTCATCTCATCTCTTTTCTTTTCATGCTTCTGCTCCGTGTGATAATATCTCACAATTTCATAGAAATTTTGTCAGAATAAAAAAACAACCTCTGTCCTTCCTGTGGCGCTGGTCCAGGTTTTTAAATATTCTGTAGGAATGTGATGAAAGTCTGGTGATAATTGGCTCGTTGGAAGCTCGAGCACTTCTTCAATCTAATATGTGTTTTTACTTCAGGGCAAAGATGCTGCATTATTTATTTATTTATTTTATTACTTACAGTGGCCTTGTTGACACATTTTAAAGCTAAATTATTTGCATCATTTCTACTGTGATTAGTTTTGTCCAAAGTGGTTTTCCCACACTAACACAAAGATCTAGTTTCTGTGCAGAAATCAGAGTTTTGCCTTTTCTGCTTCTAAAAAAGAAAAATAACACAACAGGCAATTAAATAAGCCATCAAAGGACATTCAGAGAGGATTTGCAGGCTTGAAATCCATTACCTCTGATTTGAATGTAAACAAACACTTTATTTACATGGCACTTCATTCTCAGTGGGTTTATACAAAACCTAGTTTTGCATCTTATTTCTGCTCCTGCAGCAGAGATCATTGTGACGGCGCTGCCAGATCATCACATGCTCGGCTAATTATTCAGCAGATTTCTGTTCAACTGACCTTGTTTTTTAGATGTTCTGTGCAGTTTGTTCAAATAAAAATAGAAATATAACTTTAGGAGGAACTTTTAAATAAAAGATAAATCAGTGATATTATTTTCTTCAGAGTTTAAAACAGTTTTTTCTCAGGTTCCTCTGTGTTCAGGGTCCGGCTCTGAAAGATGAAGGGCGTTGTGAAGCCGTGATGTTTTCAGTTTTTATTTCAGGCACATGATGCTGACATGAGAACATGTGCTGCTAAAAGTAGAAAGTGTTTTTTTTTTACTGTTTGTTTTCATGTTGTGTGTGAAGCTGCATCTGTCAGACGAAACATTAAAACTCTGCAGCACACAGTTATTTTACTGTCACTGCTTTGGACTTCGTCAGCTCCACGTCAGCATGAAATAATATCTGAAAAGTTCCAACTTAATAGTTTTAAAGTGGAGCAGTTGGTGCATGAACTCAGCATTAGGTTCAGTCTGCAGCAGGAACAACTGTCCTTTGTCCTTTTAAAGGTTTCCTGCTGATCCTTAAAGTCTTAAAAGGCATTGAATTCAACAATCTAAAACTAAGGCCTTAATTCGACTTAAAATGTCTTAAATTGATCTTTCAGAGGTCTGAAAATGTAACACGTTGTAAGTAGAATGATTGTAATTCATCTTAAACATTAAAATAATTGGGAACATTTATTTATTTTTTTATTGTTTAGTTTTAAATAAACATTTGGGTGAAATTGTTGCTAACTGTTTTTTTCATTTGACTTTATTGTGAAGTTGGTCTTAAATTTCATTTAAAGTGGCATTAAAAAGTCTTAAAAAGTCTTAAATTTAAATGACCTTAAGTTGTAGAAACCTTGTTTTATGTCATTTGAACTGTTTGTTGCAGGACAAACTTATTTTAGATGTATTTATAATCTAATGAAAGCACCTTTTTCATTATTATGACCCCTGTATGTGAAGAGTAAGCAGGAGTCATGTTGTTTTCGTACTGTTTATTAAAAAAAAAAATTCAGTGATTTTTGTGGTTGTTGCTCAAAAACTATTAAACATAGGAGCTTCAGATTGATTTTGTTGTTTAGCTCTGATGAGGGGCTGTCCATAAGACCCCCACCCAAACCAATACAATTTTGGGATGCACTTGGTAGCATTGTAAGAAAATACGTGTTCAATATCGACTGAAGTCAAGATGAAAACACAGTTGTTAAATAAAATGATTTGTGAAAGGAATAAAGTCATACAACACCAGAATTCTGGACCTGAGTGAGGTTCATTTGTCACCGGCTGACAAGGAAAACCACACTAAGAGTCAGGATGTACATCTTTTATACATGATTCTTCAATGCCTGAGTTCGCCCCCTACTGACCTACGGCTGAATCACAGGCATTCATACAATAATCTCAACCTAATGTTGTTATAACGGTTCACTCATGTGTTGTTTATGATTCGGACATGTAACTACTCTATATCAATTAACACATAATAGACTAAACATTATAAAAATATTATAAAAAGGAAACCCTAATAATCTAGTGTGGTTTCTAACATCAGTACTAATCTGTAATAATTATAAATTTCTTCAGCATGACATTTATTAGGAATAAAGTCTTCTGAGTTCTGGTGCATTTGTGCGTGCGGGGGTCATTATGTTACCGCTATGCGGTACCTAGTTTGATTTTTGATTGGCAATTAAAAATAGAACGAATGATACCCTGGTCAGTGTATCTTTTGGTCATTGGATCTTCATTTTAGAAACGGGTATTAAAAAACAAGAAACAAGTAGCTGTTTGATTTTTGTTTTTAAAATACTGAAATTAAAATTAAAAATACAAAGCGTTTCTCATTCTGTTTCAGATAGCTATCTATTCCCCCACCAGAAGGGGCGCTCGCCTTTCAACTCTGCATAATAAAACACAAATTTCTGTAAATAAAAGGCTGTAACAAACGAGTGTTATGATGACTGTTGCTCTGTATGTATTTCATACATTTATTTAATTGTGTTCTGCTGGTGAAAATGACTCCTTCAGATTGTTAAATGAAAATAAAACCTGTTGTTGTGGTTCATAAATAATTTGTTCACAGTTTGTGTTTGTTTCCTGCTCAGGTGAAGATGTGTTCATCAGCTTGTGTGGGACATGTGAGGAGTTAAAGGTCCGTCTGGACACGGACGTCCTGCAGCTGAAGAGCACTTTCATCAACATGTCCAACGCTCACATCGTGTCTTTAACCAACCGCTGGGATGTTTGTCTTCATTACCGCTGGACAGAGTGGAGCAGCCATCAGGTGGAAGACCTGGTCTCTGTCAGGTTGGACACAAAAATGTCTCTCAGACTCATGTACTTTTTAAATATATGTGTTTATTTATTTTTTAACAATTTTGTCAGAAAAAACTCCTGTATTCATCAAACTTCTTAGAATTACTCTTAAGAACACTGTCAAGAGTGAAACTAAGTGTTCACAGAGTAAAAGTCAGTTATGAAGCATCTCAGTCTGACTTTAAGTGAAGTGTAGACTAAAGGGCTCGACACACGGGAGGCGACGTCGCTCGCTCTCCATTCATTTCCTATGGAGCCTGTGCGGTGAGGCGACAATCGCTTGCCCTCCTCCAGCTAAGTGACCGGTGAAAATCGTGCATGTGAAATTTCACGCACGTAGACGTGCACACGTGAGC